CCGCCCCCCCCCCCCACAGGTGGCTCCCACCCTCTGCCGGCAATTCCCATCCCTCAGGGTTACAGAACAGAGTCGGCTATTCCTGGGCTGATGACATTCTACAACTTTATGTGTCACCTGTCAAGAGAGGGGAGGGATGGGATATGTGAGCGGGGGCACCCTGGTTCGTACCATCGGACGTCCTGTCAGGCTCTCCATGGCCCTGCCAAGCCCCGACCCCAGCACAGTTCTGCCAAGCGCAGGAACACCTGAGCCCCAAAGAAGGATGGGCTCATGGCTAGGGCACCTCAGTTCACTCTCTGTAAAATAGGGATAACATCACTACCCTACCCCCAGGATGTTGGCAGCATCGATACATTAAATGCTGTGAGCTGCTCAGATGTTGGGGCGATGGAGGCCAGATATACACCTTAGACAGATTATCCTTCCTATTAAATAGGAGAGCTCCTAACCCTGCAGCTTTTGACACACATGGTTCAGAGTCAGGTTTTTATTTGGAGGTTTGGACAGCACATAGACCAATTCAGGAAAGCATCCCCCATCAGGGCAGCCTGGCACATGCTTAAGGGCTGCCCTGAACTGGGGGCCAAGCAAGGAACTTCAGAGACCCACCCCCCAGGACAGTAACTCTATACCGCTGGAATAGTGAGCATTGGGGCAGGGTTAGACCAGAGGGCTAGGACTTAAAAGGCTCGGACTCAGAGATTCTGAAAAAAAATCAGTCTCTCGGTGTCGCAAGTTGGGCGCCCAAAAATGGAGGCTCCCTCCCATTACGGTCACCTTTGAAAATATTGCATTAATGCCCACCCTGCCTCAGTTTCCCCATCAGTACACTCTGGCCTGTAACGTTTGCACACCTACCTCGCTGAGAGGACTAGTTGAGGTCTGAGAGTAAATCAATGTATAAGTGCTATACATTCTCATTTTCATCTTAAATCCAAGACACACTTGTGCCTTGTAATAACACCCTCTTGCAGAGTTCGTGGGTTGGGGGGAGGGGGTTAGTATGGGCTTTCGGTTAGAGCAGGCGCTGGGTTCTATTCCTGACCCATTGTGGGACATGCGGCAAGTCTTATGTCAGTAACCTATCAAGCCATCAACCCCTATCTGCCGGTGGCCTCAGTTGCCTACCTAGGCACTTCTCGTCCAAGTCCCTCCATGCTGTCCCATGCCACCCTCCCCATGCATAGCAAAGGCTCTTGTCTATACTCAGAAGGCCCCTTAAAACCCACCTCTGCCATGTGCCTATGCCTCACTCCCATTTGGCCCGGGGTATGCAAGTGGTGAGCTGGGACTTCTGCTATCCTGCTAAGCTCGGTTGGATTTATGGGTCTCTCATCTTCTCAACCCACCCTCAGCCCCTTCGTCTGTTTCGTCCACTTGCCATGCCTTGGCTGACACGAAGGGTGTGAGCAATTGGGGTCATGGGACTGCCTGCTGTCATTTGTCTGAACAGCACCTACCACCAAGGGGCCCTGGGTTGGGCGTTCTAGATGCTACTGCAAATACAAATCAGCAACAGCAATAACCGACCGCGACCAGCCAGCTAACTTGTCCTAAAAGCCACTGCTGCCAAAATATCAAACCATCAACCACGGTCCCTACTTCTGCAGCGCACACACACAATCAAAACTAACTTCCCAGATGAGAGCAAATGCAGGGGTGTTTGGGCCTGAAAGGTCCCATGTCATAGCAAAAACAGGCCTGTTACTCCCCCCCTGAAAGCACATGCCCGAGGGGTGGTGGTGCTCAGGAATCAATATTTGCTCCATGGAACAGGAGGACAAGGGAAACGTGTTACTGTCCAGCTTAAAAGGGGAGCTACTCTCCCACTTCCCAGAAACCAAGAAAGAGGAAGCAGTGCCTTCCACGTAAAGGCAGCAAATTCAAAAGCAGTAAGAAGGAAAATGCTCCTTCACCCTCTGATTAACCTGTGCAACTCCCAGGGTGCTGCAGAGGCAAACAGAGCACTGGGTGCTCTCAGAAGCAGGGCGCAGGAGGTGACTGAGCTATGCTCCGTGAGCCAGGGGAGCAGACTACACAGACCACTGCTGTCTTCCCGCCTGGAAGGAAGCAGAATAAATTCACAGGGTTCAAGGGACCATTGTGATCATCTCATCCCACCTCCTGCATCAAGCAGGCCAGAAGGACGGCTCTGACTAGGGGGGTCATGGGCCTGCTCCAGTCTGGCAAGAGGCAGGACATGGGACTAGATCAACATGGTTATGGGCTGGCAAAAGGCCGGACACCAAACAAGATGGATCATTCATCTGGTCTGGTGCAGCAGGAGGCATGTTATAGAACTAGACAGTGTGTTATGGTCCAGCGGCAGCTCAGAGGGTCACTGATCATAGATTTTAACACCGGAAGGGATTACTCTGGTCATGGAGTGTCATCCGGGCAGCCCCAGCCAGAGCTTGTCAGCCACTGAGCCTGGTAACGTGCGGTGTCTCTTTCTGAAAAGCAGACTGTCTGGAACTCCGCCACTTCTCCCGTGGCACAGAGCAGGAAACGTACAAAGAGGAAATGTCCTTTTAAGGATAGGCAGATTGGTGTAAACTTTGGTTTAAAAAGCCCCACGGTCTCTCCCTCAGAGTCACAACCACCGTAAATAAGCCCCTCTCGGAAGCCACGGAGGTCGTTCCAGCTAGCCGTGCAGGGACACGGAAGAAATCTGCGAGATGCTGCTTCTTTCCATAGATTCCGAGCATGCCCAGCCACTCTCTGCCAGAGATAGGAGAGGCTGCACGGAAGTCCTGGACTTACAAGGGCACCCGGCTTTCTCGAGAATAGAGTTCTCATTTGCGCCCTCCTCAATGGAAGAGCCGGCTGGGGGGCAGTTGATCCCGTGGCTCATCTGGGAAGGAGAAGCATTTTCCCTTTGGAGAACGAGGGGCATGACTCTCCCGGCTCTGGCTGGGGATGCTCTGAGCCTATGGAAAGAAACATCTTGCATTTTTCCTCTGCCTCCTTCGCAGCTAGCTTAGCAGCTCCCCTGCCACTCTGGGGGAACTTCCTTGGGCTCCCAGCTGCAAGGCGGAGTAGAAGGGTCGTTCAAAGCAGGTGCTGGCAGTGAGATTGTGGGAGAGTGAGGGTGTGCGTACATGTCAAGGTGTGCACATATGTAAGTTGTCTGCACGTATGGGACAGATTGTGTGATTAGGAAGAGGAAGGGTGGAAACGTGCAGCCCAGAACAAGGGGAAACAGGCAGATTACAATCCCTGATACTTGGGGGTCACGAAGGGGGTTAGGGCCCTTGGCATACACAACAGTCAGGGCTCAGAAGGAGCTGGAGGACATGCACCCGTTTTCAGATGCCCCCAGTTTCAGTTGCAACAACACATCCATAAAGGGAAGGCTGGATGGCACGCAGAGGAGCCCTCTGGCCAGCTAACTGTCACTAGTTACGCATAAGCCAAAGAGCACAGCGTGGGGCTTCAGGGTGGCTGGCTACGGTGTTCTGTGCAGTTCAGAGCCCTAGGATGCTGTTACTAGCCTCAGCAGTGAGTGCAAAGGCCAAGCACAGGACAGGTCTGGATCTTACTATGTCAGATGTGGTAACCTGCCAAGGAGCAAAAAACCTAGATCTCAGAACGTGTGTGTGTGTACACACACAGAGGTATATAATGTGAATGAACACACACACACACACACACACACACAGTTCTATCATCTAACACTCATTCCCCAAACAGTGGCATACAAATATCTGTATGGAATTTCTACTGTATCGTTACTGCATGACTATATGTTGCCATGGTCTGTGTGTCTCGATATATTTGCAGGATAATCTCTAACTATTCCTCACTGAAGTAAACCGTTCTGCGGTAGCTGTCTCAAAGCCCAATTCTGTAAACCCAAAACACTCAGACCACGTTATTTTAAAGAGAAACCGTTCGCTGTGCAAATTTTAAAAAAAACACACAAAAAACGAAGTCAAACTGCTACCCAAAATTTCCTAAGAAAATTTCAGGCCCCTCCCTGCTCCAGGATGAATTAATTAATGAAAGATCACACGCCAACCTGAAATTTGCTAAACTTCCTCTTAGCCACCCGCACTGCTCCAGCCCTCCCACCAGCTAAATTGGAGTGCAGAACACAAAGGCAATTAGAAGAGTCCAATTCCCTAGCTCCAAGGAGACAGAAGTGCAAGACACCACTAAGACGACAGTGGGCCCCTCTTACCTGCAACTCCCTGCCCACCACTACTTCTTGCCCATCCCTCTTGGTTTTTAGAAGAGCTACTGGCATTGCTCTAAACTCTTTCACCGGGTGAGAGAATCACATTCGAGGGTAACATGCTCCTCCGAAGCTGCTGGGGTTTAAACACCACCTAGGGTGAGTGGGGACTATTAGGACTGAACCCAGGGGTACAGCCTTGGCTTAGCAACCCTTCTCTTTCTTGGCAGGGGAATGACCTGGTCCCCTGGTCCCTAGAGCCATTCCATCCCTGCCCATGGGCAACCTTGTTTTCTTTGGTTTATCCATTCAAGGAGAAGAGCTGGATGTCCTTCTCTCCCGGCCACGCTGCGAAGGGGAACGGTAAAACTGCTGTAGTTAGAAATGGGAGAGTCTCTCTCCGGAGCGTGTGCCTCCCCTGGCTGGCATCTCAGCCTTTATCCAGCAGCGAAGGTGATCTCTGCCCCCGGCAAACCTCGGCAGCCTCAAACCAGCCCACTGATGCAACGGAAGACCCGCAAACCCACGCGCAGGGGGAAATATTGTTCATCCGAATGCCTGGCCCCCTTTCCCCTGGACTCCTCGGAGGCAGACCAACGGCCTCCTCCCCCTGCCCCACCTACACCGACTGCTCCGTCGGAAAGGGGAAAGAAAAACACATGCCCTTACAAAGACACAGCAGATTGGATCGCTGCCAAAATACATCCTCCCTCCTCCCCCCAGCCACCACCACGGCCGTGGCTCTGCTCCAAGCAAGGCTTTTGCAGCATCCATCCCCACGCGCCCCTCTGCTCCAGCCAGCGGGCCCTGCCTGCCTTACCTCGCCGGGGAATCCTGCGTGGCTGGGCTGGTGCTCGTCTCTCGTCTCCTGCTGGCCTCCCTCCTGGAGCCCTCCGGACTCCTCTCCCTCCGTCCCACCTACCCCCCCGCAGGGCTCTCCCCTGTCTCCCCCCTCCTCTTTCCAGCACCCTGCCCCTGAATCCCTTTTGCAGCCGGTGCTCAATGCAATGCTGAAATGCTGGACAGCTCAGCACCACCGAGCAGGCCTCCCGTCCTCACGCAAGACAGTCGCCTGCTCACCACATCCTCTGCCACAGGGCCACCTGGAGCCCAGGAGGGGCTGATGCAGCAAAACAGGATCCCCCCCCCCCCCACACACACACACAGAGATCAGGTTTCAGAGTAGCAGCCGTGTTAGTCTGTATGTGCAAAAAGAAAAGGAGGACTCGTGGCACCTTAGAGACTAACCAATTTATTTGAGCATAAGCTTTTGTGAGCTACAGCTCACTTCATCGGATGCATACTGTGGGGAGATTTATATACACGGAGGACATGAAACAATGGGTGTTACCATACACACTGTAAGGAGATCGCGCTCTCCTGCTGGTATTAGCTCATCTTAAGTAATCACTCTCCTTACAGTGTGTATGGCAACACCCATTGTTTCATGTCCTCTGTGTATATAAATCTCCCCACTGTATTTTCCACTGAATGCATCCGATGAAGTGAGCTGTAGCTCACGAAAGCTTATACACAGAGATCCTTTTCAGTTTTTGCAAAAAGAAAAGGAGGACTTGTGGCACCTTAGACACTAACCAATATATTTGAGCATAAGCTTTCGTGAGCTACAGCTCATTGTAGCTCACGAAAGCTTATGCTCAAATGCATTGGTTAGTCTCTAAGGTGCCACGAGTCCTCCTGTTCTTTTTGCGAACACAGACTAACACGGCTGCTGCTCTGAAACCAGTTTTTACAAAGCAGGTCACTGGCTGCACCTGACTTTGCAGGGACGGCTGCGAGGAAGACTGCGGTGCGGGGAGAGTTTTCGGGCTGAAAAGTGAGACTGAAGGAAAAGACCACCCGAGGAACAGAAATGAGAGAGAGAGCGTGCGGTTTCCAGAGGCGGAGGCTTGTATGCGACAGCGCCATAAATCGGCCCCCGGCGGGCAATCAAAATCAAGAGATCCCACTAAATGCCCACCAGCTCCAAGAGAGAAAGGGAGGGTGCTAAATGTTTTGCAGGGCTAACCCAAGATAAAGACATGCTGTAACAATGGTGCAGGGGCTTGGGGGGAGCAGCAGACAGTGCTGTATTTCGTCTGCAAGTGGTTGCAGGTTCAAACCCCGATTTAGTGGTTGCAGAAGAGATGCAGATCCTTGTATTTAGGAGGTTAACAACTCTGGGGGCAGGGACCATCTCTTTGTTCGGTGTTTGTACAGCACCTACCACAGTGGGGGTCCTGCGCCGTAACTGGGCCCCCCCAGGGGCGAGTTATACAAATAATAAATATAATATTACTTTGCACTTCCCTGCCATAGCGCTGTTGATCTGAGGATCTCAAGGCACTTCACCGCATAAAGCCACCAATGTGGTAAGGACAGCTCTGTTGCCCTCATTCGTAGAGGAGGAAGTTGAGGCACATTGATTATCACAAGGTCTTTTTTGGGGGTTTTTTTTGGACTTCGATTATAAGCTGCTCAGGACAAAAAAAAAATCATCTTTTTGTCCTGTTTCTGTATCGCACCCAGTACAATGGGCTCTGGTCTATGACGGTGCTACCGCAATAGAAATAATAATTTTAAAAAATGTCACTTGGCTAGTCAGTGGCAGAGCCGGGGGTGGAACCCAGGCATCCAGAGAAGAGCAAGGATTGAGGATGGGTTTTTTGCTTCCTTCCGGTCACAAACTGATCAACATTTCCCAGCATCCACTGGTTATTTGAAATGATTTGCTCAATCATTCCTGTGAACAACTCCCAGTTGGTAGCTTGTTTGTGAGTTCGCATGCTTGCAGCTCGCTGCTCCCAGCTGTTTGGCTGGCACATGCTGTTCTGGTGGCACGTTTCAGTTCCCTGGTGCGAACGCTCACAACTGCAAGCTCATAATTCACTTTTCCGCAAGCGTCCTCTAGTCCCTTCAGATTGGGAATTTCCAAAACATCCCTCCCAGTAAATTCACTGGGCCAATCCTCAGATGGTGTAAAGCATGGACTTCAATTTAAACCTCCTGACAATCTGGCCCCTTGGCTAGAATTAGGAGTACTAGTAAAAGTCTGGTTTGATGGTAGTGCCTAGAGGCTCAACCAAGATTTAGGACTATACCATGCTAGACACTGAACATACACACAGTACCAGGCAGCGCCTGCCCTGAAGAGCTTACAATCTAACAAGGCAAGAGCCATTTTATAGGTAGAGAACAGAGACAGAGAGACACGCAGGCCAAGAATTTCCAAAGTGACTGGTGATTTTGGGTGCTCCACATGAGCCATCTGACGGGGCCTGGCTTTCAGAAAGTGCTAAACACCTGCCCTCTGGCAGTCTGGCCACTTGACTGCCTCTCAGGTTGGGTGCCCCAAAAATCAGAGCACCCAAAAATCACTAATCATCTTGGAAAACTTTGGCCTCTTGGGCCTTGCCAAAAGTCACACCGGAAGTCAGTGGCAGTGGTGGAACAAATTCATTTAATGACTCGGATACGCACAGGAGATTCTTCTGTTCCATTTGTTTGGATTTGAACCACTAAACCACACAAACAATTCCAGCAGCACCAAATACACCCCTTTATATAATGCAGAAAGGAAGGCTGGACTAGCCTGGAATGTGGAAGACCTGGTTACACTTCCCTGCTCTGCCACAGTCTGCCTCTGTGACCTTGGTCAAGTCACTTAGGCTCAGATCTCCAAAGTTCCATAACTCCTGTTGAACTTAACCTTTGAAGATCTGGGCTATTGCCTCACTCCCTTATCTGACCGGGTGTGGCTGGGCTGAATACGCTGAAGATTACGAAGTGTTCAGATTCTGTGGTAGCAGGGACCACGTAACTACCTTCGATAGATACCAACTTGGAGCAGGGATTGGCACTTACTAGGTGTTTGTACAGCATTTAGCACAGTAGGGACCTAGCACCTAGGCACTAAAGGAACAGGAGCGTTAAAAACATCCATGCAGCCTAGAATGCTTTATGGAAATTCACGATACAGGCCTGAAGCCTGGTGCCCTTAGTCCTAGAACAAGTCAAGCCTGAAAGAAGCTACCACAAGAAGCTGATCAATGGATGGGCCAAAGCTCTTTCTTTAACCTCAGGGACACTGGGGCTGGGGCTGCCCCGATGCCCTCCTGCCTGTCCGCCACTAAGAGCCAGCTTATGCCTGAATCTCGCCCCTGCCAGGGCTGTGAAAATAACTGATTACGCTGGCTAATGAGGTGCCACGGGATTCCCATTTAAAGGCATGGATGACAGTAATGGATCATGTTTTTAAAAACTTAATCCAGGGAGGTAATGCGACTGTTCAGGACGAGAAATTACGGACATTACTTCCTGGTCCTGGCTATTAAGGGAGGCACAGGCTTGCAGTTCAAGCGCATGACTGGCTGTCAGGAGACCAGGAGACCCTAGCTCTGTCACTGGCTCTACTGTGATGCCAGGAAACCCCTTTCTGTGCCTCAGTTTCCCCACATGTATAATGAAGATACTGATACTAAACAAAGGGCAGTAGTGAAGCCTAATTCATTATCATTTCCCTTGAGATCCCCAGCCGGATGGTGCCAGAGGAGGGCAAAGTATTAGGGCTCAATCCTGTGCTCCCCCTGATGCCTAGGGCTGCCACACGCTGGTTTGACACCTGATGTAACTTAGAGCAACCTCAGGTTTACTCTAAATTACATCAAACCGCAGCCTGTGAGCTGTAGCTCACGAAAGCTTATGCTCAAATAAATTGGTTAGTCTCTAAGGTGCCACAAGCACTCCTTTTCTTTTTGAGAATACAGACTAACACGGCTGCTACTCTGAAACCAGCCTCTAAAGAGCCATTCTCCAGCCAAGGATTGTTGAAGTGGTGTTCTGGCTACACCCCCTACTCCTGATCATGCCCCCAACACATCCCCCATGGGAAGGGGCGATGAGGGAGTGGCAGAGAGCTAGACACATTGGCCCTGCACCAGCTGGAGAGTTCCTCACAATAGGGGATCCCCAGCGAGTGAGATCCATCAGCTTTACAGCGTTGCAAAGGGGTCATGGCAATACCACGGAGCTGGCCCTTAGTACCTGTCTCTGCTTCACCACAGTCAGTGCAAGAGCTTTCTCCCCTGCAGGCCTGGCCTTCTCAGCCCCACTTTCTGTATATGTCAGCCTCATCAACTTGCCATCTCCCTCCCACTCTTTCCCCAGCTTTATGCAACCCAGGGATTCTCCCAACCACAGAGCAATGCCTAGCCATCACGATGGGGCATCTTTGCACTGCTGAGTCAGTGTAAGGGGCTGGAGCTGGATGCCAGGATCCAGCCCAAAGACCTAATCCTTTATTGTATGTTTGCAACAGGTCTCAGTATTCAGATGAAGGGGAAAGTTCACACCTCTCTGAGCTATTGTGTCAGGCTCTCTACAGATCAGGCAGGCACCTGCTACACGTGTCCTGTTTTCAAACTTTTATTTGCATCCACGAAGGCTAGAAATAGTGATTTTAAAAAAAAAGAGAGCGGAGAGTCTGATTTAATCACGTGACTCCAGGAGCTGGAGCTTTGGGTCTGAGTTTATAGTGCTTGTGCCTTAATATTGCCCTGGGATTGGGCAAGATTTTCCCCCCACTCTCCCCAAAGAGATTGGATTAACTATAGAGATTTCACACAATAAAAATCAACCAATTCTAAAGACAAAGGGCCAAATTCAGCCCTGCTGTAATTTCACTGAGTTACACCAGGCTTAATTAGACTCAAAGCAACCCAGGCGAGGGGGGCTGGAGAGGAAAGCATCTCCCCAGTTGGTATTCACCAAGCAAAGTTCTCTCTCTCCCCCCATACCCCTTTTTCCAATCAAAACTCCAGGCCATTTGGTTCAATTTGGCCTGTAGCAACAGGAATGACTTTCTGGGATGCAGCCGAGGCTGGATCAGCACTAAGTGTTATTGATG